CACAATTACTCATATTCATATTTCTATATTTATATTTCAAGAACTTGTTCAGCTGATGTAAATATTTACTTTAAATTGTTAATTATTATTTGTAATGATCAGTTGACCCAAATATTTATTTATATTAATAAGCATAGTTTATTGGACAAACTAGAGTAAAAGTCATGTTATTTGTAATACCCCAAGAGGTACATCAGGAAAATTGATTTGAAAAAATGCATAGAATATACGAAGATATAGCATGCAATTAGCATACAGCTGTGCGTTTAATCCCTACAATTATCAAGATTAAGCGCACAGCTGTATGCTAATTGCATGCTATATCTTCGTATATTCTATGCATTTTTTCAAATCAATTTTCCTGATGGATGGGATTTGGGAGATGCTCATGCATTGTCTCTGTTTTCATTTTAGTGGTAGGAATATTTTCTTGTGGATTCCAATTCGAAAGGTCTTGATCAAGTAAATAGCTCATAAAAGATCCAGGTGTATCGGGATGGTTGAGAATTTTTCCCAACTGACTAAAATATTTAAAATTACCTTTACATCGAGGTGAAACATCTAAACATACAATACAACCATCTCCTTGCTCAACATGAATTGGGGCGTCATGATTACTTAATACTATAAATCCAGGAAAATGGCCACATTCTTGATTTTCGAGACCTTTGCGCTCAATTGAGACGTAATCTTCTGTAATTAGAGATTTTAAGTGATCGTTTGACTTATGCCATTCTCCACTTAACATTCCCGCTTCATTCATAATTATAAGTTTACGTCCTTGAATACTACTGTTAAATTTTCCCAAAATTTTACCTAAGTCAGACATTGAATATACAAGCTCTGGACCGAATAAACTTTTTCGAATAAAATCAGTAATAATATTTTTCCCACATCTTGGCGGTGAGCGCAAAACAAGAATTGTTCCTGGAATTATTGCTGGATACTGAACTAAAAATGCTAACCATTTGAGAGCATATGAAGAAAGAACTTTATTTCCATCACACCAGATATTTTCTATGTGCCATATAATCGGGTTTACAAGATCGTAATTAATTTGAGGTGCCGGTTTAGCCTTGAATCCTAAGAAAAGATTGAAGAATTCGTTTTTTGGTTGTTCGATATTAGGTGGATATGGTAAGAAATTGATGTCATCATAAATAATCACCTTGCTGTCATATATACAATCTATCAAAGAGATTAATTTTATTGGTTCTCCTCCAAGTTCTACTATATTAATAGTTATTTTACCAAAATCTAGAGTAGGTGCCATACCAAAGTATAATCTACCATCTGGTTTTCTGTGTTTAAGAATCCATGTTCGTTTATCTCTTACCACACAAGCAAGTGTAGCCTGGATTGCATTATATACTTCATTCCGAGTAAAATTTTTCTTAGAAGTACACATACGAATTAAATCACCCCATACAAAGTGGTCATTTGGATCTGAGATTCTGGGTCGCTTTATTTTTTCTGGGGATGAAAGACTGTTTTCCCGTTCCAAGACTGATACATTTAAAGTAAGTTTTAATGATGGTTTTTTTGTACCTGTTTGCGTTTCTTGATCCGCTCGATGACAGTAATATCGGTAAGTTTTTTTATTTCGGGTTATGTATGCGTTATCGCTAGTGTGTTCCCGATCACAAAGAGGACATTGAGATTCTGCTATACGATTTAGAGGAAATATATTTGGAAGTGTAGGTGAAGGATATAAAACCTCAAACCTTCAATTTTGTATTCTTCGAGTAATTTTTCTATATATTCTACTTCAGATCCGATTGTCCCAGCATCGATTTTACTTTTTTCCGGCGTTTTTCCATCTTCGATTGATGCCTTTTCTTTCAGAGTATCCAAGATAGGACTATCAATAACTGGTGCCTCATCGTATGGAGGACGGAGCATGAAATCAAAAACAGTTCCGTCCTTTGGAAATAATGCTCTTTTTGGACGGATATGCTTATACGATTTTTTACCGCTTTCATTACATTTTATTTCGATTACCTTCGGAGTATTAAGCATTCGTAAGGAAAATGAGTTTTTGTTGGCGATGTTATCAACAATTTCCTTACTTTGTAGCCCCACTGGGAGTTTATTACGAACAAGTTCAGTAAATACTGCAACTCTGGCAATATTTTTAAGTTTTAAACCGAAAGTAGATATATGAAGTGACATTTTTTTCTTATCACTACTACTAGCAATTGTTAAAGTATGGGAATTCCATTCTGGGTATATTTCTCTACAGGTTCTTGAAAAGGCACGGCAAAGTAAATCCGGTATTTCTTTAGCTGTAAGCTTGGGTTCGATTTTATCAAATTTTTCTCTAGATAAATCAAAATCGATAAAGGGACGAAGTGGGTCATCACCATCAATGCATTCGTGTAATGAATGCCCTTGCTGTTCACTGAGTATAGCTTCTATTCCATCTTCGGAATCTGTACCGAGATATTGTCTTGGCTTTACACTATCATCGCGGAATTTATATAGATATTCGGCTACACTCTCGGCTTTGGCCCCCCGGTGGTACAACGCCCCGTTATTTTCTTCCTCTAACTCTGGCTCGAAATTTTCTGGGCTCTCTGGTCGAGAAAGTGATACTTCCGCCTCTGTTGGCGCGTGATTGATGTTTTCTTGGAAATTTTGGTTTTCCACAGTTGGTATATCGGATGATACAGGTACAATAGGGATGCTATGTTCACTTTGGGTACTCATGTTTTTTCTGAAAGTATAATATTCGGAATTAAAAAGTTCATAATGAAAATTAATTCTAAAGAATATTGATCAGTACATATTATATACTCAATCAAGATAAACATCAAAAAGAATGGCATTTTATCGTTGTCCCTATATCCTTAGAACTGGAGAAGTCTGTAATCGGCCATGTTACCATCCCAATGGGTGCAAAGTTCACCGGGATTCACCTATTCGTTATCCTTGCAAAGAATATGGTTGTGTTAAGTTAACTTATTCCGATTATGGTTATTGTGACCCCCATGCACAGAAACATCGTAGAAGAGAGTATAATCATCAGAAGAAGCTGGAGAAGATGGCACAAAATGGGGTTACTGTAGAGCAGGATACTTCGTATCTAAAAAATACATAGTAATATTAACCGCTACAAGTTGTCACCAGTTGGCACCAGTTGACACTAGTTTGTCACTAGAAAAAAATCGGTAGTTGTGATACTTCTTGGAAATTTGGGTTAAAATAAAACTGTTCTCAATAAGTGTCACCAGTGTCACCAGTGTCACTAGTTTCACTCGAGTGTCCTTACTTTTTCTTTTTTTTTTCCTATAGGTATACCGTATATATTGTATATCGAAAGTATGACATATATATATATCAACTAAGGTAGATACAGTATACCATTAGTAGATACATAATCTTTAAGATTATGTATCTACTTAGCCAGGTTATGTATCTACTAGGGCTAGACTATGTATCTACTATGACTAGAGTATGTATCTACTAGGTAGATATAACTATGACTATGATCCTGGTATGCGTGTGTCGTCATTTGAGTGACGATTGATCCACAAATTCGTCATCATTTGGATGACGATTGATCAGTGAATTCGTCGTCATTTGGATGACGATTGATTGAAAAAATCTGTCTCCGCGATTTCAGTCTCCGCCATGTAACTTTCATGTCCATCGTCCACACATGTGGACGGTCATCTATAAGTATCACTCCAGGAAAAATGCTTATTTTGGCTTTTATGATAAATTCGATTGCGAGGATGAGGCACGTAGTGTCAAATTGGCAATCCGTATTTTGGCTTTGTATGTCACATTCGAATTCGAGGATGAGGCACAAAGTGCCGAAATAGTATTCGTGATCTGGCTTTGTATCTTGAATTCGAATGCCAGGTTTGAGGCACAAAGTGCCGAATTCCATCTATTTGGTGGGACGCAAAAGCAAAATTTTTTCTTTCTTTTCCTATATATAATTCTACCTTTGCGTCCCACCAATTGTTTGCTAATGTTTGCTATGTTTTGGGTCTCTAGAAAGCTTTCTCGCATAGTCGATACTTTTGGGTACTACTGATTCGAAAGAAAACTGGGTCATACTATATCAAAAAATTTATTGCTTTTGCATACTACTGATTCAAAAAAATTATTCTTACTTTTGCGTCCCACCACATCGAAAAATTTATTGTGCTTTTGCGTACTACCGATTCGAAAAATTTATTCTTACTTTTGCGTATTACCGAAAAATTTATCGCTTTTGCGCCATAATTCCATCACACGAATTTTTATTTAAAGTTTTGAATTTTCTATGTAATTTATACCTCTTTATTCCACTCACCTAGTTATAAAGCGTCTATAACATGCATTCGTATAACCCACTTCTGCTTCCGGATACAATTGCAACCCTCTCACAAGAGGAGGATGACGCTTCTCTTGAAACGATCTTGCTCGAATATGCTCAATCTTGCAATTTGTCAGCTAAGTCTCAGAATGATTCTTTCAATAATTCAAAAAGCTCATCTATGGAAGTGCAATCATTAATTGAGTTTCAGGATTTAACAGACCTTGATTACAAGCCTAGTAATACAAATCATTTTTACTTTCAAAATCTACTTCCGTCCGATAAGACAGAGAAAACTAATAATAAAGGTTATGATGATGAAAACTATGACGAAGACTATGACGAAGACTATGACGAAGACTATGATGACAATGTTTACAATAAAAGGTCATTTGAAAAAGATATTTCGCTTTTCGAAGCCTATCGTCCAGAAGAGATTAATTCTAAATATATAATTCGGATGGCAGAAAAAGGCTTTACAGTAATTGATCATCCTTCCGAAGTTTATGGAATGCCTGATACACATGAATGTATTGATGGGAACCAGCCCCTTCGCTTAGTTCTTGATATTGATGCGAGACAAAAATCCGATCCTACTAATCCTAAACTTCCTTCTCTAGATGGTAAAAAAATTACTCGTGAAGATTTGATGTTTCGGATTTTAGATGCTTGTGCAGGTATAGTATATTCCGCATTTGGTTGTGTGGTACCATTAAGTAATTTCGCCTTGGCAAGTTCATCAGATGCAAATAAATGTAGCTGGCATATTATTTATCCTTATGCTCGATTCATTGATTATAGAGAACTTCAAAGTTTTACAAAAAAAGTTGCTGAAACTGTTGGTAAGCCATATTCCGAATTCATTGATATTGGACTTCCCAAGTCACGTTTTAGTCTTCGACTTCTCGGATCAGCAAAAGGAGGCAGAGTTAAAAGACCCGCAATCTCTTCAGTCAAAAATAGATTGCACAAGCTAGAGAATTATTTGGTTCAGCCTAAAGCGAATTGTTCTGTAATCTGGCCACGAACCTTTTCTTCTGAGAAGTCCGCAGAGGAAAAATTCCAACCTATCAAAGATGAAAGTGCTTTGGTTAAAGGTGCCAATAATGTAATTGCAAAATACGGATGGCTCGATATCGGAAAAATTGGAAAAGGATTAATTAACTTTCAAGCACAATTACCTAAAGGATGTCCTATATGTGAGATTACACATGAAAAAAATCAATTATATGGATTTCTTCTAAAAGATGGGCGTTTTATACTCAAGTGTTTTCGACAAAAACAACATAAGCCAGATCATAAAGGGTTATTGTTTGGTGAGGCAACAAGAGTAGTTGAGTTACCTAAACGAAGTATTACCGAAAGAATTACCAATTCTATATCTCATCCACGTCCACTTATAGAGTTACCTGGAAAAATTATTAATGTTGGAAAGTTAAAAGATGCGCCTGAATCATATCCTGATTTCTTAAGCATTGAGAAAACAACAACTCTTATTCGTTCATCTCCAGCAACATGGAAAACTACCACTTTAAGGGATAATATTATGGCTTTAAAATCTAAGGTAAATAATACTTCTTCATTACCATGTTATATCTGGATCTCTTATCGAAAATCTCTTAGCAATGAATCAAAAGCAAAACTTGATGAGTTGAAAGCATCAGGATTCCGAATCTGCAATTATCAGAATATGCAAGGAGAATTATCCATAAATGAGTGGGATATTATTATAGTACAAGTTGAAAGCCTTTCTCGTATTGAATTTTCAGCTCGTCTATTTGTGGCTATACTGGATGAGGTCAATGCCATTATGCGTCAAATGTCAAGCAATACAAATGCACGGGAATCTGAGAATGCAATGCGTGATGTATTAAGATCAGCTCAGCATGTATTAGCCATGGATGCCTTTGCAAACATGTCAACATTAGCCTTTCTCAAAGCTTATCGTGGTGAAAATATCCATGTGGTCGATAATAAGTATCAGCCCCGTGTAGATGAGATAGTTGAATTTCTTTATGATCCAAATAGTGGAGCTGAAGCTATGCGAATTGGGTATGAGTTTTTAAAGCAGGGAAAACGTGTAGCTTTTGTATCAACTGGAGCAGTAATGGCTAGAGCATTAATAGAAAAAGCGTCTAAATTGACAAAACCAGATAACTCACTTATCAGAGCTCGTGCATATTATGGAGATATGGATGGGAAACAACGACAAAAAGATTTTTCCGATATTAATACTGCTTGGAGTGAACTTGACTGTGTAGCATATACAAATACGGTGGAGGCGGGCATATCTTTTGAGGTTACAGGTCATTTTGATATAGTTATAGCTATTTCAAATATTGCAACTCCAGTTCATGTTGAAGCACTTGCACAAATGCTTTATCGAATTCGTGATTGTCCTCGACGCATTGTTTCTGTGTTCTATCAAAAAAATTCTAATGAGCTTTTTCGTCCACCAGGTCATGAAAATATTCGAGCAGAACTTGCAAGTGCTCGGCCTAATGAATTACCCACAGCAATCAAGGGACACCGTGAGTGGGATAGTAATGTTGTTTCTTACAAACTTGATGAATCTCCAGCTGTGATGACATTTATTGAGGTTGAGCATCAGAAACGCCTTTCCGCAAGAAATTTTATTGAGAATCTTTGTAGTCTCATAGCCAGTACAGGTGCGAATCTCCAACTAACAAAAATGGATGAGAGCCAAGGAGTTATAGGAAATCGTAAAAAAGTTCGTAATGAGATTAAGGCTGAAGCTTTAGTTATCAAGAATACCGATTTTGAAGCAGTTGCTACTTCCCGGAATCTCACCCCTGAAGAAGCCGAATTCCTTAAGCTTGATCAGGAACGTTCCGTCACAGATACTATGGCACTTAAGCGTTTTTATATGTGGAATCTTTATGGTGGAAATGATATGAGCATTGAAGCTTGGAACAATCTTTGTGATAATGAATTTCTAGGACGCTTTGGTCCACCTGAACCTCGAAAGCATTTCTTGCGACTGTCTCAATTCCAAAGGCAGGGTTACGATGAAGAGAGTGCAATAGAAAGCTTGAAGAATAAAGACATTGAGCAATGGAAAGATACCTATTATAAAGCCGAAGAAAATTTTGAAAAATCAGTGGCGGAGGATTTGCATAAATCATATTCAGCGAATCATTGGAAAGCTGTAAGAGGACTTTTTCAAACATTAGGTTTTACTGGTATAGATGACAAGCGTATCCTCTCTGGTAATACTGTATCAGAAAGGTTCATGCAATCTTGTGAAAGGTTCGTAGAAATCCGAAATCAATCTTTATTGCTCTTTGGCTTTAAGTCTCGTGCAAAAGAAGCACCAGATCTTAAGTCAGCTATAAAAGCAATTAATGCAATTGTTGGTAATTATTGTGGGTATACCATAAAAAGTAAACGAAAAAAAATAGGACATAAGGAACAGCGAGTTTGGGAATATTCATACCAAATTAACCGCCGACCATATAAGGGTATTGGTTTTGGAGATAAAGGTGCACCAATGCTTCTGCCATATAAGTCAAAGACAGCTGACGAGGTCCAGGAACTCTTCGATGTAATAGATGATCCCGTTATCGAAGAGAATCAAGCTCCAATTCCAATTCCGATTATATTGCAGAACCAGATTATGTTGTAAAAAAATTCGTATGGAAAAAATATCTATTGACTTATAAGATATGTGATTTTGCCTATCACTGTTCAGATTTTTTTGTTGTCCTATATTAAGTATTTGAAAAATCTAAATCGAAAAATAATGTTTAGCTTTGTCCATTGATTGGATTGGGGCACTCTGCATTGAGACAAATATCAGCGAAGCAGGCATGGCCAGTTTTTTTACTTTCATGCCAGACATGCTTGTAAATTTCATCATGAATCCTACATATTCCGATATGAGAATTGGTTAGCTCATTACAAATAGGGCACAATTTTTTGGGACGTGATCTGAAATGTCTAGAGCAACCTGTGCTACGCCAGCATCCTTTCCCACAGATCGTTCCATCACTCTTGATATATTGGCAGGATAGACGATGTTCCATATGAGGTAATTTTGATATTATTATGTGTTAAACTTTCCTTTCAATATTTATTACAGGTAAATCGGATAAACATTCAAAAATGCGAAGACCACTTAACTGAATGTCTACTTGGATCTCTCATTTGGGCAGTCATATCTCCTGAGATCTAGAGCATTGTGTACTCCGTGAAGCATTATCGAAGGGGTGGGTAATTAATTTCAATTTGAAAGAATATATTTCATACATAGTCATAGTTACTTCTACTATTCATACCCACTAGTTCTACCTACTATTAAAATGTCTGCCATTGCAAGTGAAATCGTAAAAAAATATGGATTAGCTCCTGAGATGAGTCCATCACAGCTAAGTCCATATGCCAATGAATTCTGCACTAAAATTTCCGACTGGCGCGTTCGTAAAAATGCAAGAACCCGTCTTCGTGATCTCAAGTTCAGTCCAGAACAAATATCAGCACTTTTACCAGATCAAAGGCAACAAAGTAAGCCAGCTACTGTGAGGAATAAAGCTCAAGAAATTATCGAATCTACTGATCCAATTGGCGAAGCATTTATCACAAATTTGCTTGAGGGTGTAAATGCGACACCAGAGAATGTTGTTGCAATTGATTCACGACTTAAGCGTCTTCGGCATGAACTACGCAAAAAGGGAGCTTCTGAAGAAATTATCAATGCTACACTAGATGATGACATTACTTGGGAATCAAACAAGAAGCAAAATGCAGATCGCAAACTTCATGCAAGAATTGGAATTTCTCCTTCTGAACATTTTAGTTTAGAATCTATAAATGCAAGACTCCAAAGCTATGATACTGCTAAATCACCTGACATTCAAGCTCTTGCAGATGTAATTGTAATGCTCTGTATGAGGCCAGCTGAAGTAACAACTCTCCGAATTTCTTATTACGAACCACCAAAAGATCTTCCAGAATGGTGGGTTCCTGGTTGTACTTGGTATGCAATCGGTTATGCTAAAGGTCGTGGAGAGAAAAATCATCCTCGGGAATTTCTTTCGATGGAAAAAAATCCAGAACGCGCTTGCCAACTACTTACCTGGATCCAAACAACAATAAAAAATGGCCATTTACGCAACCCTGGCATTGTAGGTGTTAAATGGTTAAATAAATTCCTGAAAAAATATAATCTTAAGCCAAGCGATTTACGAAAAATTGGTGCAGAATGTGCTTGCATCGTACATGAAGGACGCAATGATTCCGATAGATTGGACATCCGAACCAGAGCATTGAGACAATCTCCAGATGGTCCACATTCATCTGCAGAACATTATGCTATAATAAATGACAGGCGAAAAATTTTTCCTTCTGAGCCAAAAGATAAAGTTGATACCCCTTACAATGATTTGATTGAAGAACTTGATTAGGCTATTAGTACTGGCACCAGTGAAATCACTTTTCAAGATGGGATAGAACTTGCCTTAAAAGTTCATCTGATGGGGTGCTTGTCCCAGAATTTGTTCGCAAATTATAATGCACACGTGATTTTCATCCATATATATACTGGATAAATGTTTAATTTTTTACCGAGAAAATGCGTCTGTATGTATTGTTGTTGTATAAAAACGATTAAGCTTATTTTTGACATCGAATGGGGCCCTACCTATCAGAGAAATTATGCAAATATTATGATCGGCAAAGGTAACGGATCGCCCATAGAGAATAAATTAATCCCATTCATGACAAATATTGCTCCGAAATTACTGATTTATCGATTGTAGTGTTTTGCATCTTTAAAAGAGTGATCCGTGGAAAATACTAACATTATAAAAACCAGCCAAATCCGGTAGAAGTGTTCTGTAACGATTTATCTTTCAGAGAAAGTGCATTATTTGCAAATATTCCCGTTATGTCTGTTAATAACCTTAAAAATTTCGCATATAATATCCTAAAAACATTTGGAGATACTGTCGAGAATAAAGAATTTCCAGAACTAAAGCAATGTTCAGAATGCAACAAAGAATTTTTTTCACACCCTCTTAAAGGGTTTACAACATTACAATGTGGCCACGTCTTTCATAGAATTTGCATTGAGAAATATCTTTTAATTACCAATATATGTCCTTTTCCTAAGTGCGACCAAAGTGCCGAAACTATTATAGATACTTCTAGACGAGATTCTCAGTCAAGTACTTCATCGATAGTTAGGAGGATGAGTAATCTCAATACAGAAGTAATCCAAGAAGATTCGCAGGAGGATCAAGAAATGGAGGATGTAGATGAATTGGGGAGTAAAGATAATCAGGACTCTTCGAAAAAAAAACCCCCGCAAAAGAGCCCGTAAAGATACCTCTGATCCTAAAGTTATTTCAGATAAAAAAAGTAATAAAGAAAAGGAATCGCATTTTTTGAAAAAACTTATCAAAGAGTTAAAGGATAATAGCACCCACCAAGATTTGGCATTTACCTCACAGTCACCCGAAGCCAATAGTTATATTCATCTTTATCAAGAAATCGTTAAAGCCGAAGCTGAAAATGATACTACGAGTCAAAATGTTTTACGATGCTATTATCAATTTGGGAAAAAAATATCAGAACGCTTTGAATATTATAAGAATGTAAAAAAATATCGAGATCGTAGGGCTCGGGATAAGGTAGATAAAGAAGTTAAAGAACAACTCCCTAAGGAGGTCACTGATACTACCCGTTGGAAGCAAACAGAAAGAGCCCGAAAGATATATGATCTTTTTGATGAAATTGGTATTGATAAAATACAACGAGTTAAATCTTATTCGGCATTAGCCATTTCAAAATTAAGTTGGGAAAATATCGATTATATTGTAGATAGCATTAAAGAGTAATGCAAGTACTGCGCCATAGTCACGTGACATACTGACTTGAGGTCAGCGAGTTTCATTATTAGGAAATATGAATTGTTAAAAAATTAATAAAAGGTTTCTCTACTATGATTTTCGATTCCCGCTCGATTAAACATAATTTCCCAGATCCATACCGATATCTGTCTCTTTGAGAATACGTCTAACTTCTTTGATACCAGCCTCGTCCATGTCCCCATCCTCTTTGGATATTATTGCATCGCCATAAACGAAAGAAGTCCCATTATTTTGATTGCAGAGCAATGTCACTTATGTGCCTGTTGTATGCGCTTCAAGTCTTTCATTTAATCCATGGCCCTGATCTTCTGCGATCCGCTTTTTTAAGTATATAAGTGTATACTTACCTCCAATAAATTCCCTAACTTCTTCGTGAAATCAGAAAAAAGCCCGTAAGTATATTCTGCAAGATCTTTCTTAAACGTGGGTATGAATAGTTGAGTATCTTTTCCATATTTTTCTAATCGTAAAGAAGAAATTCAATCAGATAATTAATATGTCGTGCGACATCAATGGGGCTGTGCAATAAAAATTATTTTTAGAATTTCTGATTGATTGTACGACCATTTCATACTAAAAAAATTTTAGCAACACAAAAACAAATAATCATGTTTGAAAATATTTCTTTTCCGTCAGTCGAAGAGGTTCAGAAGAAATGGAAGCGACCCAACGTTATTAATTTCTTAGAGGAAAATAAAGTGGAGTTAGATCTTGATGATGATGACATTCAAATAATCGTAAAGAAAAAGATCTCTGGTCATAACTTTCTCGATTTAAGTCAAGAAAAACTTGAAGAGTATGGATTGCAACCAGGACCGGCAGACACAATAGCCAAGTTGGCCAAAAAAATCAAGGGCGAGGATCAGGGTAAGTAGTACCACGACTGCATTCGAATATTCTAAACCTATACTGCTTTCTCCACAATAATTTCATTTGTTAAATTGTGCCTCATACATTTATTCCAATATAGAATTAACTAACAAGCGCAGGAAAATCGGTCTATGGGATGAAACTGAAAAAGATCCGGGAAAGTTTTGGAAATCTTTGGAGAATGCGAAAATTGATAATAATTTCCTTCGGCTGTCCGAGGGCGTCTATTTCTTGGGTGATAAAGAGCAGGGCGCCATTCTATACATCCGTAAATGTTACGACCACTTATCTAATATTGTCTTTAATGAGAAAATACATCGTTGTCGTATTACCGGTAATCCCGGAATTGGCAAAACTGTTTTCGGATTTTACCTACTTTATTTGCTTTCAAAACAAAACAAAGCCATTGTGTACCACAAAGCTTGTCAATATCCAATTCTCTTCAACAAGCAACATACCTTCCGTAGTGATAATATCTCTGACTTTAAAGGATACTTAGACAATACAGATGTCTGGTATATTGTAGATGGTCAACCACCACTCCAAGTTCATGCTAAGACAATTCTTTTCTGTTCTCCCCAAAAACAACATTACAAGGAATTTGATAAGATGGTGGGAACAACAATACGATTAATGCCAGTATGGTCATGGAACGAGGTTAACGAATGCAGGATTGGTATGTTCAATCATCTTGAAGAAGCGAAGGTTGAGGATTTGTACTCACGCTGGGGAGGGATTCCTCGATTCATCCTAGAAAAGGCTCTAGATTCCTCTCAGCAAAATCATCTCGAAGATGCAATTAGCAAGAGTAATGGGAGATTATTTGAATTTGTTGGAGAAATTGACCACGCCGATGATGTCAGTCACAGGATCATTCATATCCACACGAATCTACCTGATGAAGATGGAGGAGAGAACGAAGAGAGTGAAGAGGCTCCCTACATTCAAAAATTCATACGATTTGCATCTGAATGGGTGGCTGAAAAAGTGATGGACAAACTCGAAAGGAATTACAGTCAACAGTTAAGGAATTTTGTGATAGCAAGCTCGTCGGAAAATGAATATAGTACGCTTCGGGGCGTCATATTCGAACAGATTGCACATCGAATTTTACAAAAGGGAGGGACATTTAATATTCGTCCTTTAGAATCCGACATCACAAGTTCTACAATTGAAATTCCAGAACGGATCAAGTTGGTATTTAATGACATTAATAAGATCGAGGAGGGCAAGTACTGTCAACCGATTCAAAAGAATTTTACATCCGTTGATGCAGTTGTTGCACCTGACACACTCTTTCAGATGACCGCGAGCAAAATCCATCCTATTAATATGAATGGCATGAAAAAGCTTGTTGAAAAATTGGGCGGAAAGTCGGGAACAAATCATATATATTTTTATTTTGTCCTACCGAAAGATTTATTCGATAATTACCAAGCACAGCACTTTCATACTACCGGCAAAACTGTTGCTAAGAAGATACCACGTTGGATTACTAATCGTGTTAAGCAATACGCATTGGAAATTGACTTGAGTTCCTGATAAGTTTACCGTATGGGTTAGATTATGTTAATTTTATCATGTATTACAGACTTGTGTGATTTTTATTATTGCAAATTTTTATAAAAAAATATCTTTATTGCACAAAAATCATTTTTTACATGTGGTGGGACAATGGGATGGATTTGTGTTAATCCGTTAATCGGATTTGCCTTTCAGCTGAAAAATTCAGGGATCTCGATTTTCATTACTAATAATTATGGAGGGCTAAAGATAAGCACAAGGGATGAATTCTTTGATCTTTATTATTACAATTCACAATTGCATATTCATGACTTTCTTTTCTTTACAGGGTCTATAATTAGAAACAATTATGCCGGAGTTTCCTTACATGATTGCAAAAAATCCGTTAGTCCTTTTATTCGCTTTGTGCAGTAAACAAAAAAATCAAAGGAGAATTAAAACCAATAATATTATACTTAACTCATTAAACCGCAAAACTGCTATATAAATCCACAAAACATAGGAACTAAGGGTATGATGGTTCAAATGCATTAGCCTTATTATTTCTTCATCCATATATGCTTATCACCTTTTTTTCTGTTTGTAGATGATCCCAATTGATTTTTCGGAAGCTTTTCTCTCTGTATATCTAATAATCGGCAATACAAGTCATATCTCACATGATTTGCGCAGTATCACAAATATATGTGTTACGATCTCTGAAAAAATAAACTTCACATAACTCTGATGGTCTACGCTACTGTGAAGAATCTTCATGATTATTATGTGATATTGTGCTCACATACTCCCAATGACACCCTCCAGTATGAGTTCAAAGTCATCGACATACTGAACTAATACCTTGGCTTTTAATCCTAGTTATGCGTTGTGCTTCAGCCAGGGATGGAAATTCTTGAGTAGTGTCATCATCAAAAATCTGCTTGACAGCATGTCGACGACAATCCCCCATAAACTGGGGTGTACAACGTTTGAGTGTTTTCTTTCGATATACACCATTCAAGATTAGATACTTTATTATTAGTAGCGTTTTGAAGAATAATTTAAGCAAAAATTGTTTCACTGCGCCAATCACATGTGGTCACATGTCCTGACCGATTGATATTGATATTAATATTAATATCATGTTTTTTGTTTCATTCACGAAAAATAATAAGTTCACATATCTGTAGTAAGTGCACTCCGTACATTAATTAAAGCTTTTGAATATATCTGTGTCTTGTATAAAAATGGAAAACCCTCAATATACAATCGATTCATTGAGAGAATTGAATTCCAAGCTTGTAGCCGATATTGATAAACTTAGAAAGAAGTTTGCTGAGGTTGAGGCTGAGAATATCGAAGTTAAAGCTGAAAATGCGAAGTTAAAGCAAGCTTTGGAAAAACATGAAGCCAGATTTGCGAATCTAGAGCAGAGAGATAAAGAAAAGACCAACCTTATTGCCAAATTAGATGATGATATCAAGGAAATCAAACAATCTTCGGCCAATACTAGTATTTCTCCTGAAATAAATTCTGACAATATTCCCGAACAGATGGAAAATACATCTGATAATGCACCAAATTCTGATGTATGTCAGGAGACAAAGACTCAATGCTCTGCATCATCAATTCGCATAGAAACTAAATCATCAGAAAATAAAGAAATGAACGATTTCCTGGACTCAGTACATAAAGAAAAGGTTAGCAACGAAATAAAAGAAAGAAATCAGGAAAAGAAGCCTAGATCTCAAAACTTATCTTCGGATAATAATTTGCAATCTAATAAAAACAAAGTACAGAAATTCATGTTAGAAATTTCTGAAAGTTCTAATTCGCAGTTACAATATACTAGTTCTATTATCAATGGTAATGTAGATAGTGACGTGACACCAACCTTGAATGAAACAGAATCTCAACCCAGCAATGCTAACTTTACACTTTTATATGAAAAACTTTGTGATGCTATAATTCTTGCTGATCGTAAAACTCAAGAAGCTATTTTGTGTTATTGCTTATTTGGAAAAGCTCTTATGCAAAGACGTAATGAAATAGCATCACAAAAACAACAAGTTGATCCAGAATCTAATATAGTTAGTAGAATTTTAAATAAAGAAGTTCGTGCTCAGCTTCCTGCAAATACTTCTGATGCGCTTTTATGGAAGAGAATCGAAAAGGCTAAGAAGCTCTATAAACTTTTCAATGCAATAGGTATGGATAAAATTTATCGAATGCATTCCTTTTCTGCTGATAGCATATCAAAAATGACAAACAAAGACATTCAATATATCATAGACAACGTGCCATTTGACTATAGTATTAAGGTAGAAGAATCAAAGATTCGATGTTTCACATCATCCACTCTAAAATTTAAAATCCCTGAACCGAGTTCAGGAAGTGATCTGCAAAATCATGTGACTAAAATCGTTGGATCAAATCCAACAAGTGATAATGAAAATTCTGGCAAAAAATCTGAGGTTAGTACATCACATATACCTCAAGTTTCCGATTCTTCTGGCTCTGAACCATCCAAAGAAAATGATCAAGATTTGAAATTACTGGAAACTGAGATAAGTATAAGTGCATTGTCTGAAAATGTTTTACCGGAAAAATTACCAGAAACTGAGCTAAGTGTATCATCTAATCCAGCACATGATCATACTTATTTCTGTAATAAAACATTAGAACAATATCCTAATTTATATCGAGAATTTAGTAGTGAAAATGCCGATTATTATGGAATTACTGATGAGACATTATGTCCATTATGCGAATTAAGTCATGAGGATGAGGAAGGTGTAGAAGGCAGATATGAAACTGGGTCCTATTATATTAAATGCGAGCAACGTGAAATTGAAATAACTGCATAAACTCCATCTTCTCATTGCCTCCTAATAAAGAGCAGAACTATATAATACTGAAACAAATTCGCTCAATATTTTATTTTTGTTGGCTATTGTGAATTAAATTGATTTGGAATTATTTAAAACGGCAATATGAATGATACACAGACAAATTCTGATAAAATATTAACCTCCGAATATCTGGATTGGTATGCCAGATTAACTGGTTTACCAAGTATTTTAACAGATAAAATTCGTTCCAAATTATATAAAAGATATAAGAAAGAAACTGGGCTCGATCCCTGGATAAATTCCAAAACGAAGATAAGTGTATCAAACAAAACCCGAGAGGCAGAGCCTTGTTATTCCCGTAACTCTCCAATTTCTAAGACTAATCCAAATAAAATGGAATGTCTTTATAAATATGCCATTGAACATGGAGAGGATCCTGATAAATTTTCGATCGTTACTGAGGCTGAGAAAAATAGGTGGGCCATGAGATGCTTCCGTGATGACTTGGAAAGAGATATACGCTTTTATCAAGGTGCAATAGAAAGAAAGGAAGATCCTAGAAAATATCATAAATTTTTAACTGATCGGGATAGGCTGATCGGTGAAGAATTATTGCGTCGTGGTATACTAGAAAGTCGTTTAAGTACTGCATGGCTCGATGACCTTATGAAGGAATGGGAAAAAACCGTATCCAATTTTCCAGATAAAAGCATAGCAGTGGAAGCATAATTGTAGATAGGTCTCTACAGATAAGTATCACAAATCAGTTGATATTTGTATCTTGTAACACATATATTTAGGTACGAAGTGCCATTTCTATGAGCTTCGCTCTTTTCGAAATAATAAATGAGTTTATCACATTATCGATCAGATATATAGATCTATAATGGGGCTGTGTAACGAAAATTATTTTTAGAATTTTAATGCGTACGACCACCTGACCATAATAACAGTGCATGCATGATTTATTTGTGCGATTAACCAAATTCGATTAATTACCTCATGTACATACTTTTCTTTGTAAGATAATTCTTGGCGTAAATACATTCACATTGCTTCATTTCTCTACATATATTCATTCTATAGATCCAAAAGAGATGAGCGAAAACGTTTTAAAAGGACAGTATATCGAGTTATGAATATTTATTGCTTTTATAGTGATTTTTTTACACTCTTACTTTGACCATATACTGATTTCAATAAAAAAATGGAAGCTTTTTTCGTTTCATATACGCCTATCTCGGATATTAATATCGCTACAGCTTTATATAAACGCATAGAAGCGGGTGTGTGGACATATGAAAGAGAAGATGAGATAAAAAATTTCATGGAGGTACTTGAAAATGCGTTGAATATTGTGTCTATTGACGATGACGAGAGATTAAGAATTCTTAATGACTTTGGAACTGGAGATGCCTTGAAAACTCGCGTAAGTTCTCTTAAAAAATATACTTATTTTAAGCAGATATGATTATTCTATGGTTTTCTTATGACCCCAGCAGTTGAAGCGAGTAGTGGTGTATAACAGTGAAGTAGTTGCGCCTCCATAGTAATGATATTTATTGCGATGGGCTCGTCAACAGTAGCTGTTTATACACAACAAACATTATGAGTGGAAACTCAGGGGTTTCATTATTTACAACTTTTTGGCCAAATAATATTGACATGATAGTGAAAAACAAAAACCTGCTGATCTGCGCAAATAATACGAATTTATTTTTTATTCTTGTACATAACTAATAGATTTATTAATTTATAGATATCGGAGGCTTTTACCTATATTAGCTCTCTGATACAGATGAATGTTTTTGTAAGTAATTACTCTATCTCTTTTCCGAATATTCTGAAATCTTAGTAATGATTAAATCACATAAATGTAGAAAGTGGAACCCTCATGGGTGGCAGATGCAATTGAGAACTTCAATGCTTTAAAGCGAGATGTACATAAGGTTAATTTCTAATAGGAATTATGGCATTATTTGAAATCCATTTATAGTTATATACTAATTCAGAATTTAGCTTGCCTCGAAGAGTATTGGAAAAGAAAAGACCATGTGGCAAGAGATAGATAATAGGTTGCAAACGATACAGGTAGAAGAATTAGGATATGATCACCCTCTTTGTTCTGGGATACTAGATGAGAGCTTATCTCCTATCATTGATATATCTGAGGAATCTCGCAATACTTTTAAGTCATGGAGTAGGAAATTTTTAATACCTCTGAGGAATGAGGCAATAGTGAGTAGCTGTGAAAAATTTATCCGCAAAGAAAAAAAGAAGGAAAGTGAAAAAAAGATTGAAAATTTTGGAGATTCCTGGTTTGGTGAATATTTAGATCACCCTGAAATATCACAAGAAATTGCGGATAGGATGTTAGATGTACTGGGACGAATTTGGGCTTCACCAAACTGGAGATCCTTTGCAACCACTAAAAAAATCACAATAAACGAGGGCACTTATGTCTGTGAGGTTTTGTCACCATTGTTAAATATTGCAATGAGTGATTTACCTGTTAATTGTGATATATGGGCAGAATGGTGAGTAAACTTTGTGTTTCCTGTCTAATGTAATGTCAGCCTTGAAAAATATCCAATGTAACGTTGTTATATATATTTATTTTGTAGGGGAGAGATAAGGCGAGTAGCGCAAGTGCTAAACGAAAAGGCTCTTCTAGATCTGCACGACGACCTGATTTTTCAGTAATTGTTGGAATAAAGGGTAATAATATAGAGATTGGATATCTTGAAACAGGGCGACCAGATTCTACCACTGAAAAACAATGGAGGGATCATAAAAAATTAAACCGACTTTCAAAGGATTCCATTGATTATATCACAAGTGCCAAAAAACAGAATAAAATCAAAGGGATAGCGATAAGAAATATATTAACAATATTCACAATTAATGTTACCGGTACTGTGCTAGAATTTCGGTGTATGAATAAGGAGTATGGTATATATAAATCCTGCCTTCTTGAATGCGCACCTATTCCGTTAAGTTTATCAAATGCGGATGCTGAAAATGTATACCAGTTAATTCATGTATTATTATCATTCAGAACTAGAATAATATGTGTTATGCGTAAAATGTTATTGGATAAAGGTAATATAGACGAGAATGATTCTGATGATACAAGAACGACGGTATCTACCCCATAAGTTTTGATTTTATTTTTATTTCTCTTATATTTCTTCGATTTTTAGTTAATAAAGCTATACATGTAAATATCTGAAAAAAATAAGCTAATTAATTATTACACATATCTGATAATTTTCCACTACATGCTGAGAATATCCGAATCGAGATTATTTACCTCTAAATATCTGCATAGTTCTACATAATTAAATACCGCTTTCGTATCTTGCGTATTCCTATTTATGATAGTTATAAAATTTTCGTCAATTCTATGTATGTACTTATCCCGGTTTTGGAATTGCATATACTGCTTAGGATTGTCAGTGAATCTACCTTGAGTCTTACGTCTGTTATTTCTAGATTTGCGAGACATATTAATATCCTATGTATAATGACGTATTATATCAAAGTATTAGACACATTCAATTTTTTTTTCTAGCAAAGTGATCTCCGTTCCAAATTGGAACGCACGTGATTTTGATGAAAATAAAGCATGGACATCCACATAATTCGATCGAGACAAATGGTTACATAGAACCTTACTTTATTGATATATAAAAAATGTTACCGAAATAACAACATAAAAATAAAAAAAATCATATCCTGCTATTGTGGACAATTTAATGGCGAGTTTCTGAATTAATAAGCACTAGCAAAGTAAGGTCCTGGTGAAGAATCGACGTATTCCAATCTTAAGAGGAACTCTCCTTTTTTCACTTCTTGCTGTCCCGTATTTTCAATAATATCATCAAGATCGAATGTTTGGCCATCTACATCGAAGTATAACCCCTTTTTTTTTTGCGTAATTTCGCTATAATTATACAGAATGGTGGAAATGAAACATAGATAAAGTTATGTAATAAAAACGAAATCATGCAACTTACAAGGAATGTGTCCTAGCGAGTCTTTGCGTATCTTCATGAGAATTGTTTTTGTCCCTGTCATAAAGGCTGATGTATTTTACATCTGACCAAGTTTTTGGTGAAACTACATAAAAAAGTATCAATGTTTATATATTATCTAATCGTGATTTTATTAACGAAGCCAATAAGAGGATTTATTTACCAACTGAAACATTGATAAATCCACCCATTGTAAACTTCAACGAAGATAATTTATCAAAAAGTATTTCTAACCTGCCTTATAAACCGAACTCAGCTTATTTTATATTGTTTCATTTGCTTGACCTGGAACCTGCTAGAAAAAGAGATTAACATAGTCGTGACTGCCTTCGGCAATGATATGATAACAGTCGCAGGACATTGCGGATCTACAGGGGGTCAAGTGTCACTCACTAATAAAAATTTTTTGATCAACACGGAATTTTATATGAAAAAATGAAGAAAAAAATCACGCTTTCATACACAAACTTGCCTGATTTA